GTGTACGTGCACGTAGAGGTCCGAGGTCAAGGTCAGGTTTCTTCCTCAATGTCTCTCCAGCTTACTTTTTGAGACAGGGTCTATCACTGAACCCAGAGATCACCGATTTAGCTAGCCTGGCTGACCCTGAGATCCACTTGTCTTACTTGCTCAGCTTTGCCCTCCAGGACTGGGACTGCGAACTTGGGTGCTGTGCACCCAGCTTCTATGTGTGTGCTAAGGATCCAAACTCTCAAGTCCTCACGCTTGCGTGGCAGGCATTTTCCTAGCCGAGCCATGGCTCCAACTGTGGCTGTGCTTTCAGAGCATGAGGAACAAGCAACAAGTAGAAGGGTTTATTGGGGGGATGGGGCTGGGTAAGCAAGAGAGGGGGCGCAAGTCGGCTGAGCTAGGTACAGAAGAGCTGGCTGGGGCACTTGGCTTCTCCGCGTTAGGGGTAAGGGGTGAGCAGGCAGGCAGGCAACCAGAGTTGGTGGCCTTGACTTCCCCGGAAGCCTCTTGCTGTGAGTCTGCCCCTGCCCTAGATCACCCAGAACACAGGCAGGTGTAGAAATGGCTGCTCACAGCCCTGGCTGCCACCTGCATAAACATCTATCCAAGGCAGAAGCATCTGACACAGCCTAGGAAGGCCTCACAGAGGGGACCTCGGTGGGGCCAGGTTTCTCAAGCCCAGTAAGAGTCTTCCATAACGGGAAGTCAATGTCAGTAGGTCCCACCCAGCCCATCCTTCCCTTGCTTGACCACTGCTGCTTTCCAGGGGGACTTTCCCAGAGTCCTTTGCCAGCTGGTCTCTGGTAAGGATCTGCCAGCAGGTAACATGAAGGAGGATTAGCCAGACCAGCCTGCTTCTGTAGTAATCCCTCAACAGTGAGACAGCCTTTGCCACCCAGGCCTTCCAGATTCCTGGATCTCCAGTGCCTTTCAGGCCTTTTGGAACCCTCTTCCATGGGAGAAGACATATATATATATGTATATGTATATGTATATATATACACACACATACACACATATATTATTTATTTATTTTTATTTATTGTGTGTATGCGTCTGCAGGTGGAGATCAGAAGACGACTTTCAGGACTCTCTCCTTCCACCTCGTGGATTCAGTCACCAGGCTTGGTGGCAGGTACTTTGCCCCAGTGAGCCACCTCACTGGCCCTGTTTCTGACTTCTAGCATGTCACTTACTGAGTCAATGCCCGAGCCACCCTAGCCAGCACAGGAATATAGTGTTCAGGGACCACAGGAACTTGGCACCCAGGAAAGGTGATGTTGGGGTTATTTTGCTTTTTGTGTGCGCGTGCATGTTTATATATGTGTGCAGGCATGTGTTGTTTGTGTGCGCATGCATGTCTGTACCAAATGCCAATCCTAGGTGTCATTTCTCAGGCACTGTTCATCTTGTTTTTGAGATAGTCTCTGGTTGGCCTGGAGCTCACTTAGTAGGCTAGACTGTTTGGCCACTGAACTGGGATTACATCCCTAGAGCTGGGTTTATGGATGGGCACCACCACGTTATGGTTTGTTACCCTAGCACACAATCAAAGGTGACCTTCATGTTAAGCCAAGCAGATGACTCCAGGCACAGGGAACCACATGCAAAAACTAAGAGGTGCACGAGAAGGAAGGACATTGGGGAACACAGGAAGTCCTGGCTCTGCTAGTGGGAGGGCTTTGTGGGTAGAGCCTTGAATGCCAGGAAAGTGTGGGGCTGGGTTAAAGCGTGGGTGATGAAGCGTGGGCACAGGTGTGAGTGAGCCTCTCCACCCACCCCCTCAAAAGCTCCCAAAGGATAAGGGCAGACCTTGTTTGAATGTGAAAAATAGATCTTTATTTCAGTGCTCACACTTGCTTCAAAAGCATGCCTACTCCTGCCTGGAACCCGAAGCTCGCACAAACCATCGAAGCAGAGCTGTGTGGGAATGGGGCAGATACATGGCTCATGGTGCAATTCTCTGTGTAAAGCAGAACGTGTTGAAGGCATCTGTGTGATTCTTCCTGAGCTCCTCTCTGGGATTTCAGGGGGGTCCCAGAGCCTCTGACCTCTTTACCCCGAGACCCCTTCCACCTCTGAAGTCTTCCAGCTTGAGGGCCCAGCCATGGGGAGGTAGTAGGGGATGGTGACCCATAGGCTCCCATGCTTTTCTGTAGACAAGTGCTGTGTCTGGGGGTGCTGGCTGAGGAGGAAGGGCTGGTCGGTGGAGGCGTGGCCCTGGTGGGAAGTGACCAGCATGGACAGTTAAGGCTCCTCCTGTGAAATCTAGTCTAGGCGCTGTGACGGCAGCTTCTAGGTAGTCCTGGGACTGCATCCGGGGGATTCAGACATAGGTGAGAAGCAGGATGGCCTGGATCCAGGTCTGGGGCTGCTGTCTCCTTCTCAGAGTGCCCTGGGCCTGGGTGGCAGGTTTCAGAAGCAGAGGGCCAAGAGACTCTGGAGGTGGGACCGCCAATCATTGCTCTGGTGAAGGAGCATCAAGCCCAGAAGAGGAGGGCAAAGTGTGGCTCCTCCTTGGGGCTCAAACCTAGGCTCTGACTCCCAGCTCCCCAGCCTCTCTGACCTCTCCTTACTTCCTCACCCCAACTGTGTTCTTCCAGACTGGTCCCATATGACCTCTCTGACTCACTCAGGTCAGGGCTGATGTCACAGCGAGAGTACTAGAGTGCAAGTCAGACAGCGTAGGCCCTGTTTCCAGGCTCACCCACTGGCCCTGTAAGTGGTGGTCAGCCTACTGGCACAGTGCAGCATGGGCAGCCTCGGTTTTCACCCTGCAGTTTCTCATGGACATTGAACAGGCTGGTGACCCCATGAGAACCTGAAGTGTCTAGCACAGTGTAGTTCCCTTTGGGGGGGGGGGGCTGGGGGTGAGAGACCAATGGCCAGGGCAGCTGGGTTCCTTCATTGAGCCAGTGGACTCGCCATCCCTTTGTGCTTGCTCTGAGGATCTAGGGACAGTCCAAACAACACAGGGTGCTGGCAATGGCTCTCCTCTTCCCCTGGCTCTGGTCTGCCAAGGCCAGGGTTCCGACTGTGTTGGCACAGAACATTCCTCACAGCTAAGGGGACAGATGGGGAACAAGACCAGAGGAATGGGATGGATTAGGAGTACATTTCCTCCCAAAGAGCCCCAGGCAGCCATGTCAGCCTGAAGGGGTGAAGTTGCTCATTATCTCGGGATTAAGACCAGGTTGAGTTGAGGGTTGGCAGCAGGTGGGGTGGAGCTGGGTAAAGGGGTCCCTTAGGCGGGGCCAATGATGACGTTCCGGTAACCCTTCACAGACTTCAGCTTGTCACACTGGAAGTTCACCACCAGCTTGTGGAGGCCAACTTCAGTCGGGAACAGGTCGACCCTCACCTTGACCACTTCTCCTGCTGGCACAGGGTCTGAGCTGAAGAAAGAAAGAAAGAAAGAGAGTGAGGAGACAGGCCTGGCTGCCACGTGAAGCGTGGGGCACCAGTGAAGACACACGAGACTTAGGCCAGAGCCTCAGTGAAGACTAAGACTAAGGCCAGAAATCATGACAGGTCCTGCCTATGGCCTCTGCAGGACCTACAGAGTCGGTAAGGAGTTCCACACCTCCTAGAGTGGTGTGTGTGTGCTCATGTGTGCATGCCTTTGAGTGTGTACACAAGTTTGGGTGTGTTTGAGACAATAAGTATATGTTCATGCGTGCACAAGTATCTATAGGCATGCGCAAGAATGTTGCTTGTCAATGGGCAATCATATGTGGTGAACAGATGTGCCCCATGTGCTGGCAGTGGTTGGTGGGGGAGGGGTAACACAGACATGCTCAGTGGCTTCAGGAGAGATAATACATCGTGTGCATTGTGTGTGTGTATTGTGCGTGCACTTGACTTGTTTTGACTGTGTGAGTTACATGGCACCGGAAAAGAAAAACAGCATGTGCGTGTGCATTTACACATAGACATATGTGCGGGCATCGAGTTCTGTGAGGACTCTGGAGACGGTACACTGTGACCGATGTGTCTCAGGTCAGGTGTGTGCTGGTGTGGCCGGCAGTCGGCACACTGTGAGATTTGAAAGGCTGCCTGTGGGTACTCTGGCTTGGGGTTTAGGGTGGGTGGGACGCAGGTGAGCAGATGAGTGGAGTGGGCTACAGGCTGGGCTGGGTCCAAGGGCCTTGCCTCCTGGCTCCTCCAGCCTCCTCCCCTCTGAGACTTGAGTTCCCAGCACTTACACTTCCACAGACTTATGCTCCTTGGTCAGGCCAGCCCCCTCCACAGTGAAGACGCAGTCATTCAGGGACTCTGAGAGTGGGTTCCTCAGGGACACCTCAGCCACCAGTTTGCGGTTCTGTTTGGGCTCCCCCAACATCTGGAAAGGAAACAGATGAAGGTTAGGGCAAGGGAGTCAGGCTGGATGCTTACGGAATTTGTCCCAATGTTTGCTAAATGAAGCTGCTCTCAGCTCTGACACTCCCAGAAGAAATCTTGGTGCCGGTTTCCTATCTGCAGAACCCAGATGATAGCTGCTCCCAGGTCTCTTTCGGGGGGCTTTACTGAGGCTCCCCCATGAACCCGGGGGTGTGTGAAGGGTCTCCTGCTTCCCAGAATTTGAAGTTGAGAGATCAGGACTGAAGCTTACTGACCCTGCTCTTCTCTACTGTGTGATACTGGACCCTCTCTGAGCTCTGCAAAAGTTGCCAGTTCTTCAGAACAGGTGAGCTAAGGTGTGTAGCACTCGGCAGACCCTGGCCCATGACTACAAGGTACTCTAGTGCAACTCATCTGGAACTCAGGGGTACCTCAGAAGAGGGCTTGGAGGAAGGTGGCGGTGATGGCACAGTCGGCTTTTACCAAGTAAGTCTCCAAACATGCAGGGCACACCCTAGATATTTCCTGTGGCCTTACTGGGATTCTCACAGCATCTAAGTGCCAGCATTGACTGGGTCCCACAGAGGAGTGAACTGGGGCTCAAAGGGTGAATTAGCACCTTTGGCACCACCCAGGCACAAGCCTGGGTCACCATGCTTGTCACCCTTCTCTGGCCCCAGCAGTATCACCAAGGTGGGTACACTTATGTTTTAAGGATACCTGGGTCTTAGATTCCCAACAGTCCCATGACCCCAGGACTCTAGAAGTCCTTCCCAGAAGCTCCAGTCCTGCATTCTCTTATCTTTATGATACTCTGCTTTTACAAGGATCCTGAAACACAGAAAGGCTCCAGGCTGCCTGGAAGTGGGCGTATGCATGGATGCAGGCTGCCTTCTCCCTAACCCGGGACTGTTCTGGGGCCCTGTCTGCTCCTTACCCGGATCTTGATTTCCGGATTCTCCAGGTAGATGTCTCTCTCAGCCAGCACTTAGCTGTTGGAAGCTGGCTCGACAAGAAGACCCCGCACCTTGATGAGGTTTGATTCTGTCAGGTACTCATTGTATTTCTCGTAGAGGATGCGAAGGGGGATGCTATTCTCTGCGATGAGGGAGAGAGGGGCGATGTGATATGTGAGTTGTGAGGGCTGGAGCCAACCAACTGCCGCGATTACAGACATGCACCACCACACCGGGATAGAACCCAGAGTCTGTCTCATGCACGCCAGGCAAGCACTCCGTCACTGAATTGTATTCCCAGTTTGCCTCTGTTCCTTCTAGCTGATGACACAGCAAGTGTCCACCTTCTGGGACCTATTAATAGTATCTGGGCAGTATGGGTACTTAGGAGACTAGGAAGGGTTTCCAGAATGGGACAGGGAGGCACCATGCCTCTCCCAATGCCTCCCATTTTACCTTCTTGACAACCCAAGTGTGGTTGTGTTTGGATCATCACCTGGCTTACACTCAAGGAAACCAAGGCTTGGGCAAGTAAAATGGTATTGTCATGCATCATCACACAGCTGAACATGCCACCCAGGCACCTGAACCAGAGCCCAAGCATCACCTGTCCCCTGAAGATGAACTCACTCCCCACTGGGCCCACAGCCTTGACCCATTTTACAGATGAAGACATGCCTCTGCCAGGAAGCACTCACCAATTGGCTGTGTGAGCCCAGGAAGATGACCACCCTGTCTGTTCCAGGGTCACTAGCATATACAGGGTAGAGCTCTGACGTTAACAATGGCACACAACCAAGGGACTGAGGGTGGGCTTAATCTCATTTTTTTTTTCTGGCAAGAAAATGGAGGCCTGGGGGCAATAGGATTCTGTAGGACACAGGAAGGTTTGGAGAAAGGAGCCCAGAGCTGGGATCTACTGCTTGCACAACCCATTCTGTCTCCTCATCTACTGAGACCCTGAGCAAATAAATCCCTTTTGCTATCAATTCATCATCACTACTATCCCCATCAGCAGCATCAGCACTACCACCACCACCATCATCATCACTATCTTCATCATTACCACCATCATCACCACCACCATCATCATCACCATCATCACTATCACCCCCACTATCATCATCACCACCACCACTATAATCACCATCATGATCATAATCACCACCACCACCACCACCACCCATAATCACCATCATGATCATCATCACCACAATCACCACTACCACCATAATCACCATCATGATCATAATCACCACCATCACCACCATCGTTACTATCATCTTTTGCTAAGAGAAGATCTTCAACATTATTTATAGCAAACTAACACCACAATAAATATAAATACAAGCCAACAAAGTCTTGCTTACTGCACTCTGGCAGAACATTCACGTCATGGGGGTCAGGGCTAATTGATAATGAGGGACTCGCTAGGCCTGGGAAGCCAAGGACAAATTAGCACGGCTCAGCTCCTACCAGGGGATGGCTGCTCGGGTCAGCTGGAGGATTGACAAAGCTGGGGGTCAGTGGCCTGCTTATGGTTGGCTCAAGCAGCGGGTGGTGCAGGCTTTAGAAAGCTAGGCAGTGGGTGGCCTTCCCAGGTGCATCGTCCCCAGAGGGACCTATTCCGGCCCAATGACATGATTGGGGATCCAAGCTCTGTGCCCATGAGGACAAAAATGTGGAATGAACAGCTCAACCCTGGGGGCAAAATAGAAAGAGGAAACACTGGACATTAGGAAGATGTGGCCATAGTTGTTGGCTTTGCCAGAAGGCCAGGCCAGGGCAGGTCCTGGAGAGCCAGTGTTCACAGATCAGTGACCGGTCCTTAGCCTCGGGCCAAATACTTGCTGGGAGGAGAAACTAAATGTTGTCAGCCTCAGTCCTCCCTTGGACACTATGCCCTGTTCTAGAAGGCCCCCTGGGGATGGTCAGTGTGGCACACGGACTGCTTTCTTGACCTACTGGTGGCTGAGGAAAGAGAGAGAGAGCAGGGTGGAGGAGGGGGAGAGCAACTGGGCTGCAGCCAGGCTGGGACAACTGGACTCCATTCAACTGTCCTGGGCCTGGTTTCCTGTCCATTAGCACATGGAAGTCCCCAGATCATATCATCAAAGAGCAATAAGCGTCAGCAACTGCCAAAAAGGGAGAAGAATCGGCCAGGTGCTCCTTGGATTTGGAAGCCCCCACAGGCCATGTTGGACTAGCTGTGCCTTCCAGCCAGAGCCCGGCACACAGAACCCCTACCCTGTCCTCCCTGTTCCCTGGGCTGTCCCTCATGGATTCCTGGCAGGCAGAACATCCTCAACTGTACTGTGGGCCCAGCCGGAGCTCCTGTAACACAATGCAGGCGCTCTGATGTTATCTGTGGGGCAGAGGTGATCCCGCAGCTGGGAGTAAGGTCTTGGCTGGGGTTCATCACTGCCTCCCTCAGGGTAGCTCATAGAAGGCTCAAGTGAGTGGTACCGCCTTCAGGGCCTCAAAATGGGAGCCTGTGGCCTAAATGGGAAGAGAACTGCCCAGGGCAACAGCACAGGTGGTGGCAACTAGAATATGGGTATCCAGGCTACCTTACATAGCCATGGTGATGAAGCCCTGCCCTTTACTTGGGATCCAGTCAGAGAGGGGTCACTTGTGTTCTTGCCATGCCATCAAGGGCTGCAGAGATACCCTGAGCTGATACTGCCTCTTGTCACCCTAGGGGTAACGAAAGACCCAGCCTCTCAGTCGCCCTGGGTCTCATACTGAAGCAGAAGCGTGGCACCAGGTCCTGGCCACAGTGACTCCACATCTACACTGAGTCCCCGAAGCTGCACATCAGGTGATGGGCGTGGTCACCTGGCCAGTCTGTACATCGTGTACTGTGAAGGTGGCAGAGGCAAACGCCCCGCAGGTCCAGCTGGCTTCAGAATGCATCCGTCTGTAGTGTCAGTGCTGGGACCCTGGCCCGGGCTAAGGGGGTTTGCCAGGCCTGGGAGTCAAGAGCTGGTCCCAAACACAGGCCTGTCTGTCCAGGAAAGCTGGCCTTGACAGTGCTGGCTCAAGAGCCGGAAGCACTCTGAGTGCAGGCAGGAGTGGGAGCACGGAGAGTAACAGCTTGGCCGCCCCTTCTCCAGGTCACACTGCTCTCCATGACCAAGTGTTGACGGTCCAACAGTACACGAAGTCCACACTGGCCAACGGTGAATGGGCTATGGAGCGGGGCTGTGTCCTGGCACTGGGCTAGCTCAGCGTGTGACCTCAGGGTCCAGAACAATTTTAGGAGAGCACCGAGGAAGGGAATTGGCTATGGCAGAGGAGCACAGTGGCTGGGAAAGCCAGCAGGGTTGTGGGAAGATGCCATGAAACAAGACAGGCTCGAACCCCTGGCTTGACCACTGTGTGCCTCCATCTCTTCATCTAGAAAATGGGTGCAGGGATGGAATCTACATCTGCCCCCCTCCACATCACTATTTTTTCTTGAGACAAGGTCTCACTATGTGGCCCAGGCTGGCCTCAGATTCTCAATCTTCCTGCCTCAGCCACCAGAGATCTGGGATTACAGGAGTGCTCCATCATGCCGGCCCCCACTTCTCTTTTGGTTATAAGAATTAAGCATGCTGGGAGGCTAGGGAGACCACTCAGTTAGCAAAGTGCTTGCCTTGCAAGCATCAGAACCCAAGTGGGGGATGTGGGGTAGGGGGTGGGAGCAGTGGGGGGGGGGCGTGGGTGGAGCCTGGCTTGTAATGGCAGTGCTGGCAAGAAGGGACAAACAGATCCCTGGGACTAGCTGACCAGTGAGAGAGCCTGTCATATACAAAAAAAGGTGGATGGTACTTGAGGGATGACACTGTGGTGCCGTCTGGCTTACACACGCACACACTCGCGCCTGCACGCACGCATGCACACGCATACGCACACGCGCACGCTTAAACACCACGGTACTAAGGAAGTGCTTAGCACGGGCTTGGCCCGCATGATGCCTGGTTAAGGGTCTGGGAGGTGAGATGCACACGTGAAGTACTGGATGCTCCGGGCAGGCAGAGCCTTACCAGAGTAGGGGTCCAGGGTCAGGCTGAGGTTCTCAACACCGCACTCGGGCCCCAGCACCCCGTTGTAGCTGACGGTGCGGGCACAGAGCAGGAGGCGACAGTCACGGGTCTCTGAGGTGTCATTGCCGATGTGGGCGAACACGTCAAAGTCGTTGCCCATGCTCATGCTCTCGCCCACGCGGATCCGCATGGACACCCCAGTCTCCTCCTTCTCGGCCAGTTTGTTCAGGTGGTTGGCCCTGGTGAAGGCTTCTCTCTCCTCGGGCGACCCTGCACAACAGGGAAGAGAACCCTGACCTGATCCACAACAATGGGAGAGGGTTGGGACAGGGCAAGCTGACTTTTCAGAGTCCGGGTGATCCTGGCAGCCCAAGGGAACCAACCTCTTCTTTACGATTCTGCCAGGAGGAGGCGGTTGTATCTCATCTCCACAGCTGAACTCCTATACTACCCTCAAGATCTAGCCTTACGCTACCCCTCCGCCAAGAAAGCTTTTCTTACCACTGCTTCCTCGGTTGTTTTCCGTTCAGGTGTTTACCAGCCCCCCACCCCTCAGCAGATCAAGAATCAAGGCTATATATAGTCTCTGTGCCACATAGAGTTGTGACAGTGGCTGGTGCACAGGAAACAGGGACACAGTGGTTTGTTTGGACCGGGACTACTCCGCCTGACTGCCCTTCCCTCCTCTTCCTCACTGAGTCTTCCTTTGTGTTCCACTCACCTCTCCCCTGTGTTCCCTTTCTTTTTCTTCCCCGTGTTATTGGGTACATATCTATTCTTCATTTTTTAAAGATTTATTGCATGTGTATGGGTGCTTATCTGCATATATGTATGTAAACCACATGCATGTCTGGTGCCCATGGAGGCCGGGGGTGGGGGTGGTAGGATTCCATGAAACTGGAGTTACCAATGTTTGTAAGCCACTGTGTGTGTGGGTGCTGGCACTTTGGAGGTGCTGGGAACCAAGCCATGTTCTTGTAAGAGCAGCAAAGCCACCCCTCCAGCTCCACACCTGTTTTTCTATCGCTCTACCAGCCCTGAACCTTCTGAAGGCCAGAGGAAGCATGTTTTCTTCTGTGTTCTCCTTTCCAGCTAGAGCATGTCCATACAGTACTAACCCCAGGCAGCCCTGGACTTAGCGAGGGCCAGGCAGTGCAAGGATTACAATATCTCAGTCAGCTCCGTTAGTGTCACAGAGGCTGGCACACAGTGAGACTTGGTACTGAGTGGGCTGGTGGGTGCACCCAGTCTTGCAAAGCCTTTTCCTTACTGATTCTCCAGTAGCGAGAAAAAGATGCTGCCTTCCGGGTGAGATTGAACCTGTTACTGTCAGGTTTCTAGGAATGCACCTCATGGCCTCCCTGGACTGCAAGTTCTTCTGGCACGGATACACTGTAACCATGGTCTGTGTACAGCTAAAGACCCTGCCCCAATGCACCCCATTAGTACCGTAAAACAACATAGACATACCACTTTCCCTCCTGAGATCCATGTCTCTCCTACTTAGCAGCTATGCCCTCCAGTTTTATTGAGACTCAGATCAATGAAAAATGAGACTTATAAACCAGGGGGACAAAGGTGGGGGCATGGGTCAGCTCATTTCAGATCCTTGGCACCCTTGTAAGAACCAGGCACGACGGTAGCGCATGTCTGTAAGCCTAGTCTCGGGGAGCTAGAGATGTACACATGTATAACAAGGCTGACGGGCTAGTAAAATTAGCTGCTCATCTGCACGGCTAGGTTAAAGGCTCTGAGAGTGCGGACACCTACCTTCTGGGTACTTGTAGGTGTGGGTGATGTCCTCCCGCTCGTCACGGCCCACGCTCTTTGTGCTGATCTTCTGCCCCACGATCAAGGAGCGATTGATGGACTTGTGCACAGACCCATCTTCCTGCCGGATCCAGTCCACCACATCAGCATTGACCTCGGCGAACACAAAGGGTGCGTCGTACTTGGTGCTCAGGTCACCCTCCTTGATGGCCCGCACTGAGACTGGGCCACAGCAGTAGGTTCCTGTTTGGGATAAGGGGAAGAAGTGGGCAGAGCTATAGAGAGAGTGACACCTGACCCCTCCATGATTGCCCCACGTGAGCAAAAGCTCTCAGAACCAGACAACTCTTTGACCAGGGAGGTCTTTCCCAAAATGCATCTGGGGTTGGCACTGAAGTCCGAGCTCCGCCTCTTGTTAGCTGTGTGACCTTGGGCAAGTTGGTCACTTCTCCAAGCTGCATTTCACTGTGGAGTTCTGTCTGCACCCACCTGATGATGGTCCACGAACCACAAAGGTAAAGCTACTCTGAATGAAGCTCCACAGTCTTTGATAAGACAAACAGAGATGTGCCTTAAGGCATCTTCAGAGCATCAGAAGGCCAGGTCTCACTCCCACCAACTGGGTACATTGAGTGGAAATCAGTGCCCATGACAGTTTGGCCTCAGCCAATGCAGAATGTGTTAGGGGCTAGAGATGGGTGGGGGTATTTTGTCACGTCCTGAGATGGTACATTGTCACAGCAAATAAAAACACAGGATTGTCACACTGGGATATGGACAAGGCCACAAAAGGCCGCCTAACACTGATGCTCTTCAGTCCCTGCCCAGCTTCTAATAGAACCTAAAGGTCCAGTGACTTTAGGTGTAGAAAAATGACATCTTTATCTTACAGAACTTCGGCAGCTTGTCCTCTAATGACAAAATCAAGCAGCGAAGCATGGGGCAGTTACAAACTGCCACAACAAGAACCAGACATTCCCCATGACCTTGCAGTTGTCCCAGATAGCAGGTGCTGTCACATACATGGGCCCCAGCCCTAGAACTCGCTCTGTAAGGATCAAGTGTTACTATGCCATAAAGGGGGTTTTCTAGAATTTTCTAGAACTTTGATAGTCTTTGTATCCCCATGCCTTGGATTCTGTGCATTTAAAAAATATTCCGAGGGGATTTCCATGCCTTTTGTCAGACCTTGCCTTGGTGCTGTCTGTCTGTCTCACACATACAAATGTCATATTTGGGATTTGCTTTTTCTTTGTGCTCGTTGGCATTTGCCTCCTGCACAAGGGGTGTGCCGATTTCACAGATGAAGTGCTGCCGCGTCATTGCTGGCCTCCGGCTGGCATCTCGGCACCACCATGCTGCAGCTCCTCCATCCCAGCTCCCCTCTCAGGAATGCTCTCCCCACTAACCTTCGCTCTTCTCCTGCGGTGTGGGGTCAATGGCCTGCCACCCCTCGTAGCCCGGCGTCAGGTCCGGCCTGGTCATCCAGGACTCTACCCAGCAGTGGAAGTTCCTAGGTGGGGACAGAGGCCGGGGACAGTTTTCCAGTCACTCCCAGGAACCCTACTCATCACGGCCTATGGGAGACCCGGAAGCCCTGAACCCACCTCTCTGGCCTCCCCTGGAGCTGTCTCAGTAGCAAGTTCTTTAGTGGGGACTCCTTCTTGTCCTCTGACCTTCCACAATCTCGGAACCCTTTCTTCTCCTCCAGATCTGGCTGCCTAACCTCTCCTTCTTTGCCCTCACTCCCTGCCTGGTCCAGGCCCCTCTCTACCCCTTGAGCACCTCAGCTCCAGCTCCCTGCTCCAATCCTGGCCTAATAGGGATGGCTCAGTCCTCACCTCCTCTGAAGCTGAGAATAGTCCTGGAAGCCAGCCAGGATCCCAACTCACATTCCAGACCCCCACCCCCTCCCAGTTCCTCCTGCCATCCCATGCAGGGCTGGCTATGGTGGGCTTCCTGCCTCTCAGCCTCCACCCAGTTTTCTCCAGGCCAGTTCCCCTGCCCATCCCTGTTCAGCCATCAAGGTCCAGTTCTTGGTATACAGCCTGTCCTAAGAAGCTCCACAGGTTTCCCCTGCCGGCCTCACAGCAGGCTGCTGCTCACCAGATCATCTCGCTCTTGCCGCTCTCCAGCTCCCCAAACTCATCCCGGTAGTATTCAATGAGCAGGTTGCTGTTCTGGTCGTGGGCTGAGTAGTAGTTGGTCACCACTCTGGTGGGGATGCCGAGGCACCGCAGCACTGGAGGTTGGGCGGTGGGGAGGTGAAGAAGAGAGCCCACAATGTTGCTGAGGCTCCTGACAAAGCTACCCTGCTCGGGCCTCCGCAGGCCCATCCATCTATACCCCAGCGGACGGCGGGCCCACTGACCATGTGGTGAGATTGTGCACCAGCAGCTCTTGCCCCGCAATGACACCTGCCTGGCTGGTCACCCCATACCCACTATGTTCCTCTGTCATGATTCTGAAATACAATCTCTGGTGTGGCCCCTGAGCCCTGGTCACCTCCTTGCACATCTCACTCCAGCCACACCGACCTCCAGTACCCTCTGGCATGACAGCCCTGGGAGCAAAGGGCAGATGGTGAGGGAGGTCAGACCTGGTCTAGAACAGCAGGGGGCGGAGCAAGGTGTTAAGTGCTGCGGGGTAGGCTAAGCTCAACTCCACAGGCTCAACACAAAGAGGAGGACAAGAATTGTGAATGCCCCTCCCCACTTTATTTATTTCGGGACAGGGTCTCTTGTAACCTGCTTGGCCTAACTGCATAGTCAAGGGTTACTTTGAATTCTCGAACTTTGAATTTCTGTTCTTGATCCTCCTGCCGCCATCTCCTGTGTCCTGAGATTGCGGGCATTCACTATAACGCCCATTAATGTGGAGGTGGGGTGCCAACCAGGGTCTCATATATGCAAGGTATTCTACCAACCGAGCTACAGCCCCAACTCTTGTTTCTTTGCAAGTGCCTTGGACCCACTAGGCAAGCAGGGTAACCCTGAGACACACTCAGCCCTTACTGTAAAAGGGATGGGTTCCCGGGGTGGGAAAAAGAATGTAAGAATCTAAGAGATAAAGCCAGACCAAAAGTTCACCTAGAGAGCTAGTCATGAGACTTGTGCCTTACTTTTCTTCGTTTTGATTTAGAATCTTCGTTTGACTTAGAATCTTTGAAGGGGGAGGCTGGGTGTGGCCTTTGCCCTTTGCCCTACATTAGCTTGTGAAAGAGCTTCCCAGATGGCCCTGGCTTCTGGCTAGGAGACACAGAAGTGTTTGGAGGGGGAGGGACAGAAGTGGCCTGCTACCTCTTGCCTGGTTCCTGCAGCCTCAGCTGAAGCTGCTGTAAGCCCTGGCCTTGTTCTATATGCAGTGTGCCTCCGATTGCCTGGCTGATGTCATGGAGTCAGCACCCTTCCTGATTCCGGGACAGTGTCCCGAAAGACCTCATCTCCACAGTCTAAGGACTTGGGGCTTCCCCAGAGTCACGCTTACCTGGCTCAAGGCCAGACTATGCCCTGAGCCAGCAGTGTGACCTTGGACTAGTCACTTCCTTCTTTCCACTGGGGAAGAGGAGCCTATAATAGCAGCTTGCTAGGATGTGGTGACTGGGAGAAGACATGGGTGTGGCAGTCTCTTCTGCCTGGTGCCCAGAGCAGCCCTGGCAGGTACTATGGGACAGCCAGTGTCACACGTCCTCCAAGGCAACCGTCAGTGTGGTTGGTGCTGCTGAGGGCCGGGCACTGATAAAATACCCAAGGGGCCACCAAGATGCCCTGGACCCCAGGCCAAACTGTTCTTGGCTTGAAGACTCAGCTGAGTGGCACTGTCTCAGAGCTCCCTGTGATCAGTTTATCACTATTGCCTCTATTTCTCATGTGGGGAAACTGAGGCTTGGATACACTGAATCTCTGGCCCAATTCCATCTGGAGACTGGAAAGTTAGACTAAGCATTGCTCCCTGGGTCTCTGAGCTGTGGACTTTACTGAGGGTTTCCTTGTCTCTTTACATACCAATCTGGAAGGTGGTTATAGCCAGAGACAAAGGCACCTAGGTGGGAGGCTGGGGTATGGGATCTCTCTAGGAGACTTCAGGAGGTCCCTTGGAGGGAAGGGGTCTTAGGTCCTAGAGAAAGGGTTAGCGTATGGAATCCATGGGAAAAAGAGAAACAGGAAAGGGACTAACGAGTTGCCACATTCTCCAGGCCACACAGTATCTTAAGGGCAGAAACAGCACTGACATCAGGTCTCCCTGTGTCCCCATGGGCTACCCAGCCGCAGCTTACCTGTGCAGGCTACAGCCGCAAACACCCAGCATTGCCCGTACTTCACTTGCTGACAGCTATGTTCCCTCCAGCGCCGCAGGATGTCCACGCTGCCAATCCAGGCCATGGGACTGATACCATCCCCATAATTGTTGTCCCATCGGCCCAGAAGTACACCCTGGTCATCATTGCAGTTGACCTGCAATCAAGAAAGCATCATGGGAGGCAAAGTCTGGGTCAGGGAGGAGGGTAGGTCAGGAGGAGTAGGCATAAAGCAAGGGATCAAAGTCAGGTCACCCTAGGAGGAAGGGTTGGAGATGCAGTGTGCCATGGTGCACCAGATGGGATGTTAGGGATAACTGGGGGTGCAGCCAAGGGCTCAGGAGACAGAGAGGAAGACCTAACAAAGCCATGGGCAAGGATCTGATTCAGGGCCTGAACCTGCCTTGTGAATCCAGGGTCATGATGTGATTGAGTTTCCCAAACACCCACACTGGCTCCACATGTCTCTCAAGAATCCACTGCTTCCAGAACAGAATCCAACCTCTGGTCCATAGCCCATGGCTCTGGGTGCTCTGGCACCCACTCGCTCCCCTTGCTCACCCTCCTCTAGCCTCTCTTCGTGCCTTCAGCACAGGCTGTGTATCCTTTCCTGCGCTCTGGGGACCACACCAGAGGGAGGCCCCTCAGCCCGCTCTGTGGTGAGACCCTGTGCTGGGTCACTCGCTCGCCCTGACCCCCCAGCCCGCGCATCTTGATCAATGCGTGTGCACTCATTCCTCATGTTTCCACTAGTGTCTGCCTTCTCTCACCCACTAGAATAGAGTATTATGGGATTTAGGGCTACACACAGTTTGGACCCAGCTCTGCCCTAGTGCCCAGGACATTAGTGGCCGTTAGTCAATATTTGCTGGGTGAATGGCTGAAGTGCATTGGGAACCTCGTTTGTGTAAAACTTTCTAAACTTCTGTTGCTGAGACTTATCTCTGCACCCAAGTCCTCATTATCCCCAACACAGAGCACGGCCTCATCATCCCAGAAGGGAACGGCCTGCTGGAACCCCCAAACTCACCATGCGGCTCACCACCCGGCCCACATAGATGGGACTTTTGCGGCGTGAGCAGTCCCGGGCACGGTCCTTCAGGAATTTGGGGTTCATGTCCAGGAGCATCAGGCAGGTCTCTAGGATGCCATCTTCAAACTGTGTCCAAGCAAACAATAGAACAGGAAGTTGGGATGCCAGCCTCTGCAGGAAGCTGTCCTATACCCCACAGCTGCAGGGACCACACTCCCTCTCGCTAGTAGATGGGCGTCCAGCTGGTTCTGGGCGGTCCCAGGACTCCAGCTGCTGAAGGCCGAGGAGGGAGCAGTGTGACATCTGGGGGGCATGGGTGTGAAGAGGGGGAGGGGCATGCCCATCTGGCACCTCAAGGGTTCTCCTTCCTCTGCTCTTCATCTTGTGCTGTTTTGAATCAAGCCTTGTTCTATGCGACAGAGCAGCCCTCTAGGGCTTGTTGTTGTCTATTGTCATCTGCCTGATGCCCGGAGATATTTACAACCAGGACTTTCCCGTCTCACCTCTTGAGGTTCCATTACCCACTATGTCCTTCTCAGACAGCATTTAAGTTTTCCCCACCTCTGAGTTCTCCCCACAGAGCTAGACTCTCGTATGGCAAACTCTTACTTGCTCTTCAAAGCCCAGCTCAAACGCTTCCTATTTCTAGAAGCCCTCCCCGATCACCATGGACAATGAGGCCTCCTCTCTGTTAAGTCTCGGCAAAGGAGAACCACCAAGGTCAAAGCAGAGATGTGACCCTGTTCCTCAGAAGAGAACGCAAAGCCCTGGAAGCTGAGACTGATTTGTGGTTTATGCGTCACGGAGACACGGCTCACTCCCACAGCCAGGCTGCCTGTGCTGGGTAGGGATCTCTGCTGCTATGATCCCTCAAGAGGAAGCTGTGGTCAGCATGACCCTGAGGCATACAGGAGGACTTCGCTCCACCCAAGGAGGGTCTGAACATCAGACTTAGATTCAGAGGCTGCAAGATGAGCTCGGAGACCCCACAATGCACCAGCGGCCCGGTGCCATGGTTCTGCTTTCTAAGTTTTCTCTACAGGATAGAGAGGTTTCTGGGAGGCTGGGTAATTAAGGAAATGAGTTTCTGGGTTTACAGAACCGGCCCTGCAGGACAGATAGTTAGCCAGCTCACTGTCTGAGTCCAGCCCAGCTGGGACTCCGCAGCTTTGCCATGGCTGGTCTCCATTTGTAAGGAGCCATGGCCTGGTTGAATGATTATTACTTTCAGTAACTTATGTGGTAGACTTGTTTGTTTCTGAGCAGGACAGCAGCATCAGCACCCCTGGTGAGAAGGCAAACTCCAGCCCCACCCAGATCTGTCTACCAAAAGCTAGGTGTGTGACTTGGCCGCTTCTGCTTTCAGGTATCTCTGAGAGAGGCTCTCCTTAGGAATTATTGTCTCAACAAGGTCCTCACCCACTTCCTGGCACAGGCTGAGCACACACTGAATACCTGCAGGGTGCCATCACTATATCAAGGGTCCTTCACTACCTCCTCCTCTGAGAACCCCAGCTGGTTTCATTGCCCCCCAGACTCTCCTCATCCATCACCCTGAGCCCATGGGTGCTGACTCTGCTGTGTGACTTTAGGCAGGCCTTAGACCTCTCTGGGCCTGCAGCTATATGGTCACCCTGCATTCTAAGAGGATGGACTGGTGACTCTGTAACCCCCTCGCATCTTGAAATCCCCAGGTCCCCCAAAACAGGCTGCCTTGTGGTCACTGTGAGGGGCAGGCGCTGTCCTACCTGTCCAAAGTTCCAAGGCACACTCTTGATGAACTTGACAGAGCCCTGGTAGATGAAGCCCTGCTGGGCAAGGACGTATTCCCGTCGCTCCTCCTCTGAGTTTAGGTACACATCGTCCGCTGTGGACAGAAGCAGGGGGCTCAGCTTGAGCTGGCAAGTCAGGGGCCCTGCAACATGGCAGCTGGGAGCTAACTCCCTAGCCCAAGCCTCTCTCAATTAGAGAAATGAATTGTTTAGAACAAGGCTGCCAACATCCACTTCCCAACATGCCCAGAGTTGTGATGGAAGCAGAACACACGTGAATCCATTTACTCTCTTTAAGATAAAAGACGGGGGGCTGGAGAGATGGCTCAGTGGTTAAGAGCTCCGTCTGCTCTTCCAGAGGTCCTGAGTTCAATTCCCAGCAACCACATGGTGGCTCCAAACCATCTGTAATGAGATCTGGCGCCCTCCTCTGGCTTTGGGTATACATGGAGGCAGAAAGTTGTATACATAATAAATAAATATATTTAAAAAAAAAGGTTAAAGACGGGGGAAACTGAGGCTCAGGTGTGCACCGCAGTTGAGAACGCTAACATCTGAATAAGTGATGGCAGAGGCTGGACTAGTTGTTTTGTTTCTCAAGACAGGGCTTCTCTGTGTGGCCCTAGCTGTCCTGGAACTAGCTCTGTAGACCAGACTTCCTCGAACTCAGAGATCCACCTGTCTCTGCCTCCAGAGTGCTGGGATTAACGGTATGCGCCACCACTCTGTGCATCAGCACCCCGCTCCGATGCTCATTTTCAATATGACCTGGGCCTTTGAGCCCATCTCAGCACCTCCTGGTGTTGCCTGAAAGTGAAGGTGTAGCAGGTGTGGGGCACTGGGAACAGATTCCTAAGCCAGTCTAGGAAGGTGCAGGACTCCCTGGGGAGAAGGTTCCAGAGCCATAAAGACATCAAGAAGGGTCACTGCCATCCTAGGGAGACAGAGCTTGGCCAGCTTTGGTCAGGGATGCTCAGTGAGACATGACCGAGGAGGCTGGAAGGTCACAGCATAAGCCTAGGACCCCTGCCAAAGCTGTGGTCCAGAGAAGGTATGGGTTGCAGGGTTCCCCGTGACTAGTAAGGAGAGACGGGCCAGCGAGGCTGAGGCTTAGTGGTCAGGCTGGCTTTATGATGTCAGGGAAACTGAGGCAGGGAGGAAAAACGGAGGGCCTCATGATGACTCTGGTACCCCTAGCCTGGGTGTCTATTCTCTTTGAATTCCTCCCTCCATCACTGAGAAAATTCAACTATGCTTGGTGTCTTGATATCACACAATGAAACGGTTCACTTAAACAACAAAAACAGCAAACGTTTTCAAAGGCAGGGTCTCATGGATCGCAGGTTGTCTTCAAACTCTCTATGCAGCTAAAGGTAAAACTTTGCCTTTCTGATCCTCCTGTCTCTATCTCTTGAGCACTGGGATCAGAAGTGTGAGTCGCCTTGCCTACCTTTTGTGGTGCTAGGTCTCAAACCTAGGGCTTCATGTACGGTATGCTAACACCTTATCAGCTTAGGTGCAACCCCAGCACTGCCCCTTTTTTTTTTAAAAAAAGAAATTAAAATATCTTCATGGTGTCTAAAAGAATGGCAGACTCCAGTCCCTGCTGAACCTGCTGGAGAAAGGGTCCCGGGGGCTACTACAAGGCAAGGTTAGACCACCAGGTAGACCTGTGCAGTGCCCAGCACCTCGTGAGTGCGATGGCACCCTGGGCACACTGCTCTCTGGCTCTGGAGCTGGGGCAGGGGTCGGGGGAGGGGGTCTTAGTTTTCCATTACTAAGCACCACCGTGCAGAGTGAAGGAGGGGAGTAAAAGAGAAAGCGAAATTCAGGGTTGCCGCATGGAGTGTGGTTATCACATATGGTATTGGGATCATAGCTCTGACTTCTGGTGACGTTGAGAATGCTCTGGGGACATGAAGCCATACGCACGCCGGCACCATCCTGTGGCCTTAGATCCAGGGCAGGGGAACCCATTTCCCGGCAGAACCAGCCCTTTCCCATCCATTCTCGAAACTTCCCCCTACAGCTGTCCCCACCCGAGCCCAACTTCCTGTCTCCTCCAGACCCTGCAATGTGGGTCACCTTAGTCACTCATTGTACTGCTTGGCCAGGACCCAATCCAACCCTCAGGACAGGGTGAGGCGGAGCCAGAGGAAGGGGGACATCCCCGGGAGCTGCCCTCTCCCTGCCCTGTGGGTTGGCAAGGGATCATCCTCCACCCAAACAAATGGCAGTTTGTCTCAGCAAAGTCACCTCTGTTCCAAAAAAATCATTGTATTGTGTGCTCTGTAAGATACCCCACATGCCATTGGGGATGACCTCAAGGCCATTAGCAGGGCACTGGGCAGATGCAGTCCATGTTGGCAAGGACCAAGGCATTTGGACTCTTGGAAAGACTGGGCAGCTGTGTTCAGAGCACTGTGCACAGGTCTGAAGACGGCTGTAGGAGAAACCAGATTTTAGCTGATTGGACCCAGGCCTCCAAGCATGCTAAGCAAGCACTCGGCCACTGAGCTACATCCCCAGCCCTCTCTTTTTGAGACAGGGTCTCACCAAGTTGCCCAGTCTGGCCTTGAACTCACAATCCTCCTGTCTCAGTCTGCAATATCAGGCCCGACCTTTCATGTTTGATAGAGGACATCTTGGATATAGCAATTCTGTGTATGGACAGAGCTTATACTGACCTAAGCCAGCAGACAACAGAGTCCCCAGTGTAGTGTGTATGTGTGTGTGTGAGAGAGAGAGAGTGTGTGTTTGTGTGATCGAGTGTTTGTGTATGCATGTGTGAGAGAAAGCGTGTGTGTGTATGTGTGGGAGAGCATTGTGTACATGTGAGTGTGTGTGTGAGCGATCGAGTGTGTGTATGCAAGTGTGCATGTGTGTGTGAGAGAAAGCATGTGTGTGTGCGTGTGAGAGAGAGAGCATTGTGTACATGTGAGTGTGTGTGTGAGAGATCGAGTGTGTGTATGCAAGTGTGCATGTGTGTGTGAGAGAAAGCATGCGTGTGTGTGAGAGAGAGCATTGTGTACATGTGAGTGTGTGTGTGCATGTGTATGTGTGTATGAGTGTATGGGTGTTTTGCTGGCATATATGTGTGCACACCACCAAGGGTGTCAGAAGAGGACATCGGATCTCCTGGAACTGGAGTTACAGATGGCTGTTACCCACTATGTGGGTGCTGGGGTTCAAACCCTGATCCTTTGGACAAGTAGCCAGTGCTTTTAGCCACAGAGTCATCTCTCCAGCCCCACAAAACAGAGTGGTCATTCTTAAATGGGTGTGGAAGCAGGAGGATCGGAAGTTCAAGGTCATCCTCAGTTACAGTTAGTTGGAGGCTAGCTAACCTAAATTATATGAGATGCTGCCTCTAAATTTTTTTTTTAAAAAAAAAGTTTTTTTCTGACATCTGTTAGAATTAGACAAGTCAAAGTAGGCACAACAGAGGAATTTTAAAAGCCTCCGATCAAGTATGTCATAAAATTTCCCAAAATAGAGAAGAAAAGAGTTGCCTAACAGCAGAGAGGCCAGACACTGTGTGTGTGTGGGGGGGAGGGGGGCTAGCCTGGAAGGCCACTGAATTCCCAGGCTTTACCGCCTGAGAGTCCCCTCCTGCCTCACCGTGTCAGAGCAAGGAGCAAACAACTGAGATGGGGAAACTGAGGCTGGGGAGGTGCGCCCCAGCCTGACCTCCTCCCAGTACCCAAGCTGGCCTGGGCTTTTCCCAGGTCTCCTCTCTCACTTCCTCCTCTGCCACTGTCCCCTGCCGACAGAAGGAGCTTCCAAGAACCACTCCTCTGAGTCTCGGTTTCCTGTCTGAGCAACAAGGAAACTGCCATCTTCTTCCCTGGCAGCTACGCAAGGAGGTGGTTACCAGCCCTACTCGACCCAGTTTCCCATCCTCACGGCAACCTAGATGAGTGTAAACCAGGGCCTCGTGAACAGAACGAGAACAGCGCCTGGCACTGGCCTTGAGCTGGGGGCACCTCTCCCCTAGTGGAGACTCATGAACCACACACCGTCTTGTGCCCCCAACGTTCTTGCTTTGTAACTTAAGTCCAAGGTAGTGGTGTTAGGAGGGAGGTCCGACGAATGTGTCCTGTCCTTAACAGAGGACTGGGTTAGTTACCTCCAGGGTGGCTATAGAAGACTTTGGTCCTCTCTCCCTCTCTCACCACGTGATACTTTTCAGCATGCTGGGTCACAATAAGAAGGCCCTCATTGGATGTGACCCACAGTCTTGATCTTGTACCTCCCAATCCCCAGAACTGTCAGCCATATTTATAACCAGTCTATGGGATTCTGTGACATCAGTCAAATGGATCCAGACACCCAGCTGCTAGTGCTGTTGGAACTCATGGGCCCCAGACCTGGACTGCAGCCTTTGGTACCGATGAGTCACCTGGCTTCCTGTCTATAAACTGGGATGCCAAAAGAATCCTTATTTTGAGGCTGGACAGGAGCTGACCCGTGGCCCCGCCCAATCAATCCTCTTTGACATTTCCTCTACTGGTTCCTGCCACTCCCTATCCCCCATAGATGGAAAATGGCTCACCTGGGCACCAGGCATTGAAGAGCAGGATGAAGTGGCCCAGCACGAAGCTGGAGCCTTGGTAGCCAGTAGAGGCCTCCAGGCCGAGGCGGTACTGGCCGATCGGGGCATTGGCTGGGGTGCAGAGCTGCAGGGCGAGGACGTTGTCCTGTTGGTCCAGCACTGAGGCTGTCCAGGATCCCTCCTCAACGTCATCAGACAGTGGGAAGCGGACCTTGGTCCCGGTCTCTTCACTGGGAACTGGGCCTGCGGAGGGGAGGTGACGCTGTGAGCGAAGAGCTGGCAGGACACTGTCCAGGCTCCCAGGCCTGGGGTCAAGGCTTAGTTCCACCCCCAGCCACGGGAGGAACTCTGCCAAGAGGCCCCACCTCCTTAAACCTCTGTTTTCTCATTGGCCAAGTAGGCATTGCGAGCCCACTTGAAAAGCCATAGGCATATGGTGAGTCTACAAGCAGAAAGAGTCTCCAGGAAGAGGACAGTACAGCCTGGGGGAGCTGCGGTGATCTACCTCGGATCAGAGGGGATGTTAGACAGGCCCAGCTTGCCTGTCTATGACACCAAGCAGGAATGATGGCGGACATTACCAGGGACCCTCAGTTCTCTCTGAATCCCTCTCCTGCATACCGCTGCTCCCCTCCAGAGATAGCTGCATACTCCCGAGACAGAACCTGAACATTTGAGATCCTGGCTATAGGTTGGTGGAGGACAACAGCCTATCAGGGATCCTCCGGCTATGGGTTCAAATCCCATGGGCAGCACATGAGGGTCATCACTTCCCTACAGCCCTGTGCATCTTATAGACAGCTCTGACTCTGGGCTGGAGAGTGGAGAAGGGAGGCCTGGAGAGGAGGGCTCTTAGGAGACCCTGGGTTTCTGGGGTCTTGAGGCCCTGGTACCACCACACTGCTTCTTTTCCAAAGATGCTGCTTCATGGTGGGCTCCAAAGATCCTGTGTCACAGTCTGCACAGACCTCTTCCAGGTAAGGGGTGGCCTGGCCCACGCAGGCAGGCCTGAGTCACAGTGGGCAGGGCTGGTCACTTCGGCCTTGGGCAGAGAACCGAGAAACAGAGGAGCTTTCTGGCTGGCTGGGAGGCAGCCTGGCAGTTTATTTTTATTTCTCCACCCCCTCTCTGTGGCTCTGCCATCCACTGCTGACAATATTGGGGCCTGCTCACCGAGGGGCTCCCTCCCAGCCTCCACCCCTCCTCTCTGTCTGCCAGCACCACTGCACCCAGGACCAAATATAACCGTGAGCTAATAGGCATGACACAGGCCTCAAGAGGCTGTCTGGGTGCCAGGGGCTGAGGTGGAGGCATCCAAACCCTCCCTGACTTCCAGAGCTGACATTTGGGAAAGAGCCAGCTAGGCCTGGGACTCAAGAGAGTTACTCTGAGTTTAGTTTCCACCTCTCCCGCAACCCAGCACTGTGCAACCTAAGCCAAGAACCCAGGCTTCTCTGACCCATAGTATCTTCATCAAAGAAACAGGCTTGGACCACATGCCCCACAAGGGCCAGCTTCAAGTCTGGAACTGGCTGGCTTGTAACCTTGTAGCAAGGGACTTTGTTTCTGTAAGCCAGAGTTCTACTATCTGTGACATGGGGCCTTTTTCTATCTATGAAATGAAGTCGTTCCTCCTAAGGTTGCCAAGAAACTTCAGGAAGGCAAGCCAGGCACACAGTAGGTGCTCAGTAAACAGTTACTATGGCCTATTATTCGCGCCCTGTGTCCTAGCACAGCTGGTGGGTTCAGTGAGGGCGCATGGAAAGCATTTGGAGCAGGGACTGTCCACAGACATGTTCCCTCTGAAAAAGACACGAGGATCTGAGTTCTCAGGCCAGATAGCAGGCTCAGAGGACCGCAACACAAGACAGATAACTTTTAGCACAATGAAATGACTTCACAGATGTGGAAACTGAGGCAAAGGGAGTCAGGTGGTTAGGAGTGGGTGGGGCAGGTCAGTCAGAATTACGCTTGCGGCCCCAGTGCAACCCCAACCATCGCCCTTCCCTTCTCAGAAATGTCCCTGTTTGGATGATCAATTATCTGGTCACTCTGGTAACCTGCCTGGGTCAGGTCCCACTGCCACTGTCTCTGTTGACATACCATCCCTAGGGCTGGGCAGGAAACACGCATCCCACCTCTCTATCCGGGAACAGTCACACATGTACTTGTGTATGTACACACACACACACACACACACACACACACCTTTCTTCCAGGAGGGCTTGCCGGGACACACTGTCCTGTGCTTCCCACCACTGCTTCCATAGCTCTCTTCGCAAAGTTCCTGGCTGGGGTTCTACAAGATAGTCTTGGTGCAGTTGAGAGTGCCATGAGATCCACTTTAGACCCATGTAACTCTAGAGACCCAAGGGGTCTTGGCACTGTCCAGACCATGGTGACAGCCTGGGCTGGGGCAAGTATAGCTTCCAGGGTAACACCTTCAGTGAGCCTCACAACTGTTCCCTTCTCCCCGCTTGAGCTGGCTTCATCTCCTGCCTCCACCCTCCAAAAGGGGAGTGTTTGGTCCTTTAACAAGGGCTGTTTGTCCACTGTGGCCTGAGACTGCTGCAGAGCCCACCAGACCCCAAACTGCCTAAGGAAAATAGTTGAGGTGGGACCACACACCCCTTCGCTGAGTGGCTTGACTCTCTCTCTCCCTTTTCTGGGCCTCAGTTTCCCTGAAGTGGTAGGACAGGCTGAACATAAACTAGAGGGCTCTGCTGGATAAGGAGGTCCCCAGCCAGGCTTGGGCTGGGCACTGACTCAAGCCTGGCCTGGAGGTAGGAGCCTGGCTTCCTGGTATTGTCCCTCAGGCATCCCCGGCACCCGGGAGGGTCTTGGATAGTGGACAGGGAAGCCACGACTGCCTACAGATGGAAGTGACCCATGGGGACTGGCGAACAGAGATTAGCTGCAGGGTTCAGGAGGTCAGTGTACCTCCCAGCACTGACTTCGGGATGCTAAGTACCTCTGTTCTGCTCCCAGACCATGGAGACGGAGGAGAAGATATGTGGGTGCTCACAGTCTACTCAGGCTGACAGCTCACCGGTCACCCCTGTCACCAAGGAGTACATCGAGGCCATGCAGGTGGACACGGGGTTAAATGACAGAGAGCCTCAACTCACAGCTGGGTCAGGGACTGAAGCCTGCTGTGCATCTAACCACTGAGGGAGTGACTTGGCCGTCTAGCCTTACCTCAGGCTCCCTGTCTGCAAAATGGGAGCCCATTATGGTTCCACCCTGGAGGCATTAGCATGGCATGAGCGTGGGCATGTGGACTACCCCACTATGTGCACCACCTTCCCAAGCATGATCCAGCTCTGTACAACCGCATAGCGCTGCCCTTCTGCTCTGCAGGGCCTGGAAGGCCAGGGACTGGCTAGGACCCTTTGGTGGGTAGAAAGAGCCCTACAGGTGCTGGGGTGGGGTGTCCCTGGGTAATAGCTCCATCTGTGGATGAGGAGGGAGGAGGAAGGGATGGAGGGGATATCCTGGCAGCCTGTGAACCCCGAGATAAGCTTATCAAACAGCCCTCAGATAGAAAGGGCCTCAGCTGGGCTGGGTTGACAAGTCCTGCCTGCCACTCTTTCTGCCCCCAAAGATGGAAGAAAGCTGGCCTTTCTCACCCTTGGGCCAGAGTCCCAGTCAGGTGACCCCTTACTGACCCCGAGGGAGTGGTTCCTACCAGAAGTCAGACAACTGATTTGGCATTCAAGGCCAGTTTCCTAGGAATGGTCAACCAGAGAGACTGGGAACAGGGTGGACAGGGTCCAGCACTCTTTGCCTATCCCAGAATCCTCTGGAATGAGGCAAGAAGCCATTAATATCTAGGCATTTCCCGGGCCATCTTACTTAACCCTCCAGGGTGACTGCTGATGAAATCAGTCTCAGAGAGCCTGAGGGTCTTGTTATACGTCACCGCAGGCCAGCAGTCCACCCTTCCTCTAGAAGGCCCCTTTCGCCACTACCCAGAGCTGGTTTAAGCCAGATCCCGGAGGTCTGGTGGGTTCTAGAAAGCCCTGGTGAGAAGAGACAGGAAGGTTGTTGAGGGTGGTAAACATTACGCTGCCTCACGCTGTGGAATAATCCTTTTGTACACTATGAAAATGCACTACTCTCATTGTTAATAACTAATAAAAGTCTCTGCGTGGTTATTTGGGAACTGGCTGGTGGGACAGAAAAGTCACCTATAGGATTGTGATGAACCTCCAAGGCAGAAAGCTGTGGATAGTGGCCCGATGCAGCCACTCCCTCTTCTATTCTGGGCCTCAGTTCCTCATCTGTGAAATGGCGCTAATGACAGCTGAGATCCTCAGAGGATGGGAAAGGCTTTGAAAAGAGGTGGAATTTATTTGTTCCGTCCCCACCAGGAGCAGGACACAGAGGAGATCCAAGGTACCCACCAGTCACAGCACTAAAGGTAAGGTTGTCCACGCTGGACTCATAGCCGCGGCCCTCAAAATACAGCGTCAGCCGGAAGCGCTGGCCACGCCGCAGGACCAGCTTCTCGTGGCACAGGTCAGTCGTGTGATGGTCACGGCCGTTGGCCTGTATCTCCAAGTCACACCTCTCCAGGATCAGCTCTACAGAGAATGAAAAAGGGGCATGAGCCGCCATGGCATCTCTCAGGGGGCTGTGGTCATCAGTGATACAATCCTACTACCTACATATGGGGCCTCAGCACCCCCCATGACCTTCTTTAGACCCTGGTGACATTCTCTCACCTCTGTAAGGCACAGCCCTGACCCATTCAACCCCACAGCTTCCCATGGTCACAGGAATTTGACAAGGCTAAGTGTCTCCAGTGTTCTAATCACAAGGTCATGCTTGCAGCAGAAGGGACCTGTGCTGTGCCCCAGTCATGGGATTGCCAGCAATTCAAAGTTTCTGGGCCTTGGTTTCCGGGACCTCACAGGGCCACAGCAAACATTAAGTAAACTGATTGTGTGAAGATGCACAGGCCCCTGGTCCACACGGCCTACCACATAGTCATAACCTCCAAGTGGGCTTTAGTGGGATCTATTGAAGTTACTCAGCATTTGCTGTCAGAGCCAAATAATTTCCTGCTCCCCTTCCCTCTCCTTCTTCCCCCTCCCCTCCCCTTCCCTCCTCTTCTTACTTCTATTCCTTTCCCTTTCTCCTTCCCCTTTTGTTACCCAAAGTCTCACTATCTGGCCCAGCCTGGCCTGAAGACAGCCTGTGCCCTCCTGTCTGGCTCAGACCCAATTTTCAATGTACAGGAAATATCATAGACTAAGGATCAGGCTAAAGGACAGGACCAGGGCACAGTCAACAAAATTCAGGCTCTGGGAGACCTCCAGCAAAGGATCTGTTTCCCCTAACACCTCAACTGCAAGAAAGAACAAACAAAAAAGCAAACAACAACAAACCAAAAAGCTTGAAGGGAGGCCCCATAATGAGAAACTAAGCGTGGTTCTGCCCATTGCCACGTGCGGGGCTTTTTACAAGAAGACTTTAAAACATTCCCTCTGCCCAGGAGACAGCCGGGAATTGAATCGCTAATGGATCGGAGACCTCAGGGGATTCTGCTGACTTGTCTACTGTGAAGCAGAGTCCTTATTTTTGATGGCATGTGTTGACAGACTCATGGCTGATACGACATGAGATTTTTCTCCCCAAGCACAGCAGAGGGGCCGGACGCAGGAGCGGGTTGGATAGTGAGAGCAGAGGAATTTATTGCACCGCACTATCCTCTCGGCTTTACAGATGACCAGTCGCCTCCAGAATGAAAGGTTTTAAAATGACACTTGGCGCGTATGACACACCTACATTTTCTTCCACTGTGCTGCTCTGTGATCCCAGACAAGTGTCCCTTCCTCTCTGTGCCTCCTTCTCCAACCCCTCCAAAGGGGCTAGGAAGTTACGAGAGGACCCAGCCCAGGAGAGGTTTGAGGAGCTGAAGTTCTAGTTTTCTGTTCCAGAGGGAGCTGAGGACCTGGGCAAGCACAGGTGGTGGTGGTGGGGACAGGGGGGACGGGCGGGGGGGGGGGGAGAAGCGGGAGCGGAGCAAGCTCATGGTCAGGACTGAGGATTCATTCAGGTCGGGAGTGGACACAACGCTCTCAGAGTTGACGGGGGTGGGGTGGGGAGGGCAGTGGAGGACCTGTGGTTCAGTGGAAGCCCAGGGAGTGGATGTCCCCCCCCCCAGGTCATCCAGCCCAGGTGTCGGACCTCCTGCTGTGCCGGGAAGGAAATGTCCGGGAAGTGCTCTGGGAACCACCTCAGATGAAATGCTGGGTGGTCCTGGTCTCACAGCAGGTGACTACTTTGGTTTGGAGCAGGTTCAAAGGTGGCCCTGGTAATGACCTCACCATGTAGAGAAGTTAATGGCTCTGCTGTTGAGGCAGGACAGACAAACAAAATCCTCAACCATGGAAGGCTAGGGCAGGTGGGAAAGAGGCTGTCTCTCTAGAGACCCTGGGGGTAACTACCTCCCAGCCTGGGGAGACAGGGTGTAGGACCCCACCCACAGGCTGAGGGTGCAGCAGATAGCTCAGGATCTCAGAACTCAAGGCCTTATGTCTTCTGACCCAGTGGGACCCTGCTGGAGGAAGCCCCAAGGTCTAGGCCATCTTCCAGGTCCCCCAACTTTTGGAAATAGGGATGGAAAACTGCCTTGGGGTAAGCAGCCCCTTAGGTGACCTATCACCCAGCCTGTTGGGGTTCCAGAGAAGGGAGTGACCAAGGCCACATAGTAGGGCTAGTCCTCTGGAACTTTGCTGTCTACATGTTTTGGGTCCCTCTTCGTGTCCCCTCTCCCCTTGCCCCGGGTCCCTTCCTTGGGGTCACAGTGCAGGCAGAGGCCATCCCTGAGTGGACTTGACTCAATGGTCACCTGGGATTCTGGTCAGACAGTTAGGAAGATCCTCCATCGTACCAGTCCTGACCCATGTGTGCCCGTGTGCCTCCTACAAACATGTAAGAGCACATGCCACACAAAGGAGGCGGGCAGAAAATGAGCAGAACCCTGGACCCTTTCCTCTCTTCTCAGTCCTCCTGGGCACATCAAGGCTGGCACTATTGTCCCTAACCTACAGCCGGGACATGGAGCTTCCAACAGTCAAGGTCTGGGCTTGGAGTACAGGAAGGCTCAAAGCGACCTCAGTGAACAGGACTGACTTCAGCGGTGCTCAACCAAATGCTGGAATGCCCCTTCGACTTGAGGCCACAGAATTAGCCAGGAAGGCTGCACCTCACCAAGGGGTGCAACCTTTCAGCCAGCTTCCCTGTACCTGGCACACAGTAGGGATGCAGATCTCAGTAGTCAGGGAAAGGTACCTTGCCCTTCCAGGTACACATTCCGGTAGCATTTTCACCTCATTCAGGGGTAGGGCTAAGAGCTGTGCCCTGGGGTTGGGGGAACTGAGCCCACAACTTAAGGCCAGCAAGGTTCCCTCCTACCGGCCCACCTGTTGTTCCCCTCTGCGGGACTTGGAGCCTGCCCTGCCTGGTCCCGACCCCACCTCCCTACGCGGCGCAGACACTCACCCTCGGCCATGGCTAGGTTAGCGGAGACAGCTAGGACGCGACAGGACACTCGGGCGTGGACCACCAGCTCGGTGCTGCGGGCCAGCCGCCCGGCGCGAACTTATAGCCCGTGGCCGGGCGGGCCCGGGTGGGGCGGGGCGGACACTCGGGGCAGTCAGTTCAGAGACCAAGAGGGCCAGGGGCGCCCCCTGCCGGACACAGGCAACTTTGGAACAGAACTCGCGATCTACACCCAAATCAGACCAGGGCCACTGAACACGGAACACACAGATACGATTTACAGGACAGATAAACCAGTGGCCAAGAACACGCAGCCCTCCACACACACATACGTACACATACCACACACCACTTATATCGCACACACAGATACACACGTACACACCACATGCATATGAGCACGTGCACATGCACCACATACACTCACACACTATAGACACACATGAACACGCCACACATACGCACACAGAGCACACACACAAAACCAAGCATATAGACATAGAGTTCCATTCCTAGTCCCCCAGAATGCACTAACAGTTTTGAACACGGTGATTTAGATCACATCTGACATTAAATCACCCTGGAAGCTTAGAGATCAGCCAGGATAGAGCCACACCTAGACGTGAGGCTGGATTCCCGCTAAGCCACATATAACCCTCAAATGAGTAGGTCTCTGAATGTGGGAGCTTCCAGGCTCTTTCTTGGCAGACAGGGGCACAGGTACTGGCTTGTGGACACCCACAGACACCCATATCCTTCCTGTCCCACCCAGTCACTCATTCCGTTAATCCCCCACCCACCCGTTGCTCTCTCACCCACCCACCTAGTCCCTTCTCTCTCTCCTTCCCTCTGCCCCCCTTCTTTGTAGCCCACTGTGAACTAAAGCACAAAGGGTCCCCTTGCAGGGACCTCTGACCCTTCCCGTGGACCAAGTTCCATCCTAACTCCTCCGGTGACATCTGGCTACACTCCTTTACCACCACAAAGCCTGAGTGTGTGTGTGGGGGGGATTCCTGAAGAGGCACAGGCCTGCGGGTCCCCCAGCCCTTTTTCTGGAACACTTTGCATGACTGGCTACTCTGTCCTGAAAGAACACACTGGGGCTCTATTTGAATGTCACTCGGGATGCCAGGACTAACTCATACAGTTTCTGGGGGCTCTGGGTCACCCCACTTTATGTCTGTTCCACTTTATGAAATTGCTCCCTGTGGCTGGTGAAGGATCGGAGGGAACATTTAGTGAGCGACTGCCAGCCAAGAGGCTGACCCTGAGTGCCCATGCTGGCCCTGACAGCTAAGAGCTCAAGAAGGTATCTCACCTTTGGGGGCTTCCTTTCTGTCCCATGAAGAATAAGGACAAGAATTCATTTGAATTCTTGGGGCATAGTTAAAATGCTTAACACCTAAGGACGCTTGAGTCCAGGCTGGCCTAAGGGCCAGGTGTCCCCAGGGTGTTAGCCCTGACAACAGAAGGGCCGAGGTGCCTCTGCTGACCTTTTCCATTCCAGGAGGGTACATTCTTCCGACCTTTGTCTCCACCCTACGTGCCTCAGAGGACAGGAATGCCGTGAAGTTGTCCAGCCCCTTGCTACTATTGCCATAAGGCCCACAACCAGCCCCTCTGTGGCTGATGTGGAGGCCTGACACTATTGCCCACACAGGGTCGCTATTGTTTTGGAGGCTGCCCCTCCTCCTGAAGTCATGTCTGGGATCCCCTCACAATGGTGTGGCTTGGGTTTCCCTTAATCATTGTTTCCCACCTGTATGGTGGAGGCGTGCATGGTGTCACCGTGCAGGGCTTGAGAGGTCTGTGTGGGCTCAGACAGTGACAGGACCGATGTAGGGGTCGGCAGGCAGTGACTCACTGAGCAGATTGGGGGAGGACTTCCCGTCAATTATTCCTGATGCCTGCAAGAAACTCAGCACAGAACTGCAGACATGCCTCTCACCCCGCGGCCAGCCCTGCATCCTTACAGAACCATAGCCGCTTGAGTGACTCAGGGCCTTGAGCCATACAGGGCTGGGTAGTTAAATAAGGGCTGGCTGCAGGGAAGGTGGCAGTCAGGGGCCAGGATAGAGCTGAAACCCAGAGGCTTGGTTCCCAGTCCTATTACCAGGGTCCCTTGCCCACCCTCTGAGCTTTCTGAGATTTCTGCGCTCTGGTCCCATCCCTCCCTCTGTAAAATGGAAGGGTCCCCAGCTGGAAGAATTAGATATTGTCTGACTGGTGTTGGTCACAGAACTGGCCACATACACATATAGAATCAGTAAACATCACCAATGACTTCCTTAGGAAGGTACCCGCAAGGATCTGGTGCCTCCTCACACAGTGGGGCTCCCCATGGATGGGGAGTAGATCACACATGCTGAACACGGTTTTCCTGGGGGTGCTCCAAAGGGCTCCCTGTGCCCCGAGGACTCTGTGTGTCTGGGTCAGAGTGCTGAGTGTTATAGCCCTCAGTTCTTGGTCTCTCATCTGAAGGGATGATTGGGTCTCACAGTGATGGCCAAAGGTGAGCTTTTGGATACTTGAATTCTCCATTTATGGTCATGTATCCTGTTGAAGCCTTGCTACATGCTTTTTGCCGTTTGTTAAATGACGTAACAGAGGACCGAAGAGAGGATGGGTCTTGCCTAACCTCACTTAGTCAAGGGCTTTAGATAAAAGGTTAGGCTGACTCTTAGGGCTCAGGTCAGCCCTAGGGAAGCCGTCAGGGGCCTCCGTCAGTTCAGTCTTGAGCCCTCAGCAAGGGAGGCCCTCAGGGCTGCAGCTCATGAATTTGACCTGTGGTCTGTCATATGCTGAGGGAGTCCAAAATGCTTGTGACGTGACAGCAAAAGGGATGAGTTGGAAAAAAACTGAAGAAAAAATAGCAAAGAACGGCAGAAGGGGAAGAGCAAACTCAGAGACTGAGCAAACCTAAGTCACACAGCATGACTGGGCTCCCAGACACCGTCTATTCCCATAGGGCAAAGGTCCCTGGGCCAGAGCTGACCCTGGGTTGCCTGAAAGGGTGGGTCAGGGATTGGAGGGGTACTAAGACGCCTTCACTCGTCTACCGATGGTGACTAACAGGGATGAGCAGTATCTGAAGTGAGGCACCCGGGATGGCTGGGCCACTCCCCTGAGCTGAGATGATGGTGCCGTGGGGCCATTAGCATAGGGACGTGTGGAAATGTCAAGGGGCTGGCAGACCCGGCAAGCTTTTGGAGAAGATGGCATGTCTAGGCCGCAGGGGTGGAGACAGTGGTGCTCTGATTGGAAGGCCACCAGCATCCCTCCAGAGGTCCATGTTGAATGTCTTTGTCTACACTCTGCCAGCACTGGGTTCCAGGCAGGTGTTTACCATGCATTCAGCTTGTGTGTAGGATCAGCTCAGGTCCTGGTGCTTGCCCGACAGATGCTGTACTAACTGAGGTATCTTTTCAGCCTTCCCATCTTCACTTTTCTCTTGTTCCCGTGATAAAAATCCTCCGACAAGAGCAACTTAAAACGGAGAGGGTTTACCTTAGCTCACAGTCCGAGGTTATAAGCCATCACAGAGGGAGTTTGGAGTCAGCAGCTTGACGCAACAGCTCACCGTATTGCATCTACAGTCAGGAAGAAAGGAAGGATGAACACATGCGGCTCTCTGCCCCACCCTTTCTCCACACAGTCCAGAGTCCCATCAAGGAATAGTGCTCCCCACAGTGGGCACATCTTCCCATATCAACTGACTATGACAACCAAGGTACTCCCCGACAGGCATTCCCAGGGGTCCATCTCCCCCGTGATCCCAGATTCTGTCAAATGAGTAGTGACAGTCTGCAGAACCTTTCAAGTCCACCGCTAACAGTGTCACAATCCAGGAACCCAACACAGGCTGGGGGCGTGACAGACCTAGGTCCATGGTGAGCTCTGTGAGCTACTTTCTGTGGTCTGTTCTGTCACGGGGTCACTAGTCTTGGGAGAAGGAACGTAACGCTGCCAGCAGGATTTTCTCACGAGGATGTCCACTCAGGTGCAGCTGGGATCATGGCTCAGACAGCAAACAATCCCAGGGACAACCAGAATAAAGCCAAGTTGAAGTTTGTTAAGAACAGGACTGGGGAGCTAGAGAGATGCCTTAGTGAGTAAGGGAGCTTACTGCTCATGCAAAGGCCCTGAGTTCAGTTCCCAGCACCCTCAAGGCAGCTCACCGTCTGCAACTTCACTTCCAAGGGTTCTAACATCCTCTTCTGGCCTCCACAGGCACTGAATACATGTGGTGCACATACATACAGGGAAAACATCCAAATATATACAATAAAAACATCCTTGAAAAAGGAGAAGCATCGCCAGGCATGGTGGCACACACCTTTAATCCCAGCACTTAGGAGGCAGAGTCAGGAAGTTCTCTGTGAGTCCGGGGCCAGCCTGGTCTAAATGTGAGTTCCAGGACAGGACAGTCAGGGCTACACAGAGAAACCCTGTCTCGAAAGAAAGAAAGAAAGAAAGAAAGAAAGAAAGAAAGAAAGAAAGAAAGAAAGAAAGAGAGAGAAAGAAAGAAAGAAAGATTTGTATCTGAAAGTCTTAGGTATAGCTATATAGCTATATGGAAAAACTAAAGGTCAACCTGAATTATATAAAATTCTGTCTCAGAAAAAAAGCAAAAAAAATAGACATTTAAAAAATTATAACTACAGTCATTATCGTGTCTGTGAGCATCATAGAGGCACACAGACTTACAGAAGGTCATATGATGAGGTCACACTGTGTTCTGGCTGTTTTAACCGTTGTGTTTGAGGTATTACCAGAAAGGGGAGGGTACCTTTTTTTTTTTTTTGGCCTCCATGCAGGCAATCTTTGCAACTGTTAGTTTTGAAGTAATACCAGCCTGAAATACTGAAATCACATCTGCGCCCCTCCTCGTGGCCTCATAACTTTCCCTGTCTTCTATCTGATCTCATACCCCAAGCCTCAGTTTCCTCCTCCGTAAAGAGGGCAGTGACCACAGGACTGAACTCAGAGGCTTTTAGTCTAAAGCCACACCTGGTAGGCCTTGAGCACTCACAGAGGGGGGCTGCTTATCAGAATAACAATAATAGTAATAATAATAATATAATATGCTGAGATACCCTAGCGACTCAGGCCTGCATGTTGGTAGATGAACTAGCTGCCACT